CTTCTTGACATTGAGCCTCAATCCATATTGGAGGCTGCAGTCCTTGACACTCTGCAGCAGGCGCTTCAGGTCCTCCTCAGTTTAATGTACACACAATGGACTGTCAAACTATCCAATCTCTTAGTAGCAGAGATGGTAGGACTTAACTGTCCACACTTGGACCATGTTATCAGGAGATGCCAGTTCTTGGGAGACCTCATGCTTCAGAGAGCAAGGTTTGACACAGGCTGCATCAATGTGCTTGGTCACAGCAGAGACCAGGAGGATGAGAATGGGTGCCATGGACACCCCAACAAGATGCACACCCCAACAAACCCCACACGTGCCATCGAGCAACCCACGGGATGTAGAGGGACTTCCCCAGAGGGTTGGCAAGGTCTCCACAAGCTTTGCAGAACCAGAACCAGTCCACAGCTTTCTCCTGTGGTGCTGCTGGTGGGTTTGAACCACCAACCTTTCAGTTAGAATGCAAGCACATAAGTCACAGCACCACCAGCTTCCTGCCTGACCTTCTGGAGTCACCAGATGAGCACTGGCTGAGGACACACACAGGTGGGCAGAGCTGTGGTGGGAGACGCAGGTCTGCCCCTTGCAGACTCACTCTTGGCCACCAGGAGTGACTGCCCTCACCCTCGAGCGGAGCTGCGAACCCCCATGTCCTCTCCTGCAGGGTCAGGGTGCCCCATAACTCATGCTGAGGCCCACCGGCCAGTGTGGGAGTGCCTCTCCACCCCCTGCCCCAGCTGCACCTTCTAGTCAAGTGAGCTGACCATCCTTCCCCTGGCATTGTTTAAATGGGTACCAGGGGTCATGTTCCCACTGGTTCTCCCTCCCTCCGGCCCCCTCACCCTGGGGCCACCACCATGTGTTTAACCAACAGATTCACCAGTGCGTCTGAAATTCAGTCCCAGGTCCGCAAACCCCTCTTGTACACAGTTTAGGAAGATGTTAGATCAGGAGCTGCAGATTAAGCACACGATGACCCTTGATGATGTGACTGGTGTCCACTCCCTGGCTGAAAGGAAACTCTGGTGGCCTAGTGGGAAAGGAGATACACTGCCCACCCACGTGTCTCCATGGCAGAGGGACACAGCATCCCCTCTGGGTGGTTTATAACCTCTGAAAACTCACTGAAGGGCGGCTGTTAGGCAGCACGGCCTTGACAGCAATCTATGTGAGGTCACACCTCCCTGAAAGTGACATTTAAATGCAAGTAAGACAAACCCTTGGGTCAGGTTGTTGGTTGGGGCCTATTTAATGCATGCGTTCTCCAGGATCAATAATAACGTGAACACAGCACGGCAGATCCTGAAGCAGCTTCTGGCTGTGGCCAGGGCCTACGCCGACACTTGAAGGTCTGGGCTGAACCGACTCCAGACGGATTCCCTCCTCAACTTCCATGCGGGGCCGTTTCTCTTCTGAGCTCGGCACTGGATTGTCGTTTGAATCCTCTCATTTCAGTGAACCGATTTACCACAAAATACCATAAGTGAAGGGCGAGAAGAAATGGATCCCCATGTGTGCAAGGGGAGGGTTAATTAAGCACTGCCCCGCCATTCGGGATGGGGAACCTGGGAGTAGTTTTAGTACCTCCCCCCATCCCGCTCTAAAAGAAATCAAGTGCACCCATCTTCTCGGGAGTCTGTTCCAGCACCTACTGGGGGGAACCACCTCTCAGTTGCCCGCCTGCACAAAGAACTGGGTGGATTTTGGAGGCTGGTGAGATCTAATTGCTAACTGTTTACACAAATCACACACACAGTGAACGAGAGGAGAGAAGTGGGATCTGGCGGGGAGCCAGCAACTAGCCTCAACAGCCTCTTACCCAAAGCATTAGGAAGAAAGTAAACTTTCCAGTGACTTGAGAGAAAGGTCTATTTCCATGACAGATGGCAGTGAGGGTGCTTCAATGCCAATTTAATCACTTTTCCTCCATTCTCAAATGCGTAAGTTGTCGCTCCAAGTGTCTGTGCAGGCAGCCCTGTCTGCAAGGCGCAGAGAGAGGGGGTGACTCATCCGCGGCGTGGTCCCAGCAACCTCAGGGTCACCTCAGGGTACGCAGGCCTGGGTCAGAGGAGCGCCGTTCCTCTCCTTCCTCGACAGCGTGAGGGGGACCAGTCCTGCAGGATAGCACGCCTGGCAGGCGTCAGCCCGAGGTCTGCCTTGGTGCGAGGGAGGCCCAGTGGCTGCAGCGATGGACACCAGTGCTGCGATGAGTGAGGAAGGCGCAGGGCCAAGGGCTGCGGAGGCAGAGCCGGCCAGTCAGCCCCACCACCGTTCCACAGACGCTGTCCTGGTGCCGAGCTCTGCTCTCGCGTCGGCGCTCGGAGGCTGTCAGTGCGGGTGTCACTTACATTATGGTCACCTAGTTCCATCAGCCTAACAGACCGCGCTGACCGAGCATTCCTGGCCAGAGCGTCCGGCTCAGAGTTTTCAAGTGGGGCCTCTGCACATAGCACCCCTCGCTGTCTCTGGGGACCAGGTCGAGCATGCTGGAGGCCGCCACCAGCCCAGCACTCTCTTGGCAGCCTCTGACCATGAATCCTTTTCAGGGACTATTTTACAAGCTACTTTATCCCATCAAACTATATTTCCCCTTTGAACTTGGTGTATATTTTCTTCCCAGCCATGCTTTTGGTGCTGGCTCGTGCCAAAGCCTGGTCAGGGTGGAATTTCTCAGGTGGGGACCTCTGTTCTGAGGGAGACAGCTCCTTGGGGCCAGGACCCTGTCCCTCAGAGATGGACGTAGAGGTGTCGGGGAACTGCTGTGCTCAACCGTCAGGGAGCAGGCTGACCACAGGCGACACGGAGCTTCAGGCCACCACATGCTCCCACCTCTCATCTGCAATGCCAGTAACACGCCAACCCGCTGAGCTCCGAGGTGGCCTCCAAGCCCAGCACGGCCCAGAGAACAGAGCAGAACTGCCCCAGAGGACTTTCAGGGTCGTCACGTTTTATGGAGCTGCCTGCCTCATTTTTCTACCAAAAAAGCCGTTGTTGGTTGCAAACCTGGGACCTTTTGGTTAGCAGCTGGGTGCTGTGTCTATCAGTTGTACCCCCAGGGCCCCTGGGCAACTCCCTGAGATTGTTAATCCAAGCCTCGGGAGAGGATATAAAGTACGATGTCTGCACAGACTAGTCTTCTCCATGGAGAAGACCAGAACATTCTACAGACTTCCTGAAGTACTACGGATCAGAGCGAGCAGGTGAGCCTGCAGAACGCTTTCCAGAATAAGGGGTTTACTTAACAGACGTGCTCACAGTGAGGACATGGGGAGCCCTCCAGACACTCCCCCTCTGCACTTCAGACACAGTCCCCGGCTTCTTTCTGGCCCCCAAATCTAGTGCTCCTGCCTGTGTGCCTGCACCCCGTCCCCCCGCCGGGTCCTGGGTGTGTGGGTGACCGGGACTGACACAGGCCCCACCTGGGACCCAGCTCTCCACATCTGCCTTCCAGGGTTTTCTATGGTCAAAACCTGCCCAGAAGGGTCTGTGTCAAAGGAAGAAAAGGAACAAACGAGAATATTAAGCATGTTTTCCTTTTAATCAGGGTTTTTAGTCAAAAGTGTCATCTTGAAAATCTCTAACTTGTTGCAAAAACCAGAGAAGCCAGGGGCGACCCGCCTCTCCAAGGCCTCAGCCTCAGAAACGGGGAGTCCCGGCTGGTTCCAACCTCTCCACCACCAGAGCTGGGATCCTCTAAACCAGAGCCAGCGTGACTGTTGGGGCAGGGGGTGCAGTGCGGTGCTCTGACCAGGGAGGAGCGGCAGGTTCTCAACCCAGGAAAACAACACAGAAGGTAAACAAACCCTTAGAAATCACTAGGAATAGATGTGTGGATACAGATATAGATATATTTTTTTTTAAATATATATAATTAGAATTATCATCAACATTTAAAACTATTAAAAATAAGGTTACCACCTTACTTTTTTTTGGTACTGGGATGTTAAATTTTTTTAAGAGGGAGGAAAAAAAAAATAAGAGATTTAGCCTAGACTCAGAGGTCTCTCCACCTCCACCTCACTTCCTGCTGTGCACCCCGCAACTTGCCACCAAACCCCCTTGGCTCGCAGAAGGCGGCCAGGCGTGGACCAGCCCGGGACCAAGGTCCACGTGCCCACAGGCCCTGGCCTTCTCTGGCACCTGTCCCCTCGCTATGGCTGTGGGGCATGTGCTGTCCACAAGCAAGATGGCAACTTTAATCCAAAGGGAAGCTACATCTCTTTAATAACTTAAAAAACTGATTTTTATAGAAAGCAGCAAAAACACCTTTTCCTCTCTGCAGAAAGAACGTCAGTGGGCAGACCAGGCCACAGACAGTCCATGGCTCCAGTTCAGAGCTGGGAGCCGGTTCCGGCCGTGGTGGGTTCTTTGGCATCCTCAGACCTTCTCTGAGTCTCCTCTGGGCTCGAGTTCCCGTCCTGGGCTCCGGCCCCATTGGGCACAGGGCTGTCCCCATTGAGCAGCCCGTTCTCGGCTGTCTTGGCTCTGGCGACGGCCTCGTTGAGGCTCAGGGCCTCCTGCGCGCCACGCTCCCCGTCCAGGCTCCGCAGGACCAGGGGCAGCCCCGAGGCCCCGACGCTGCCCTCCAGCAGCCCCAGGGCGCTCTCCTCGTAGCGGGGCAGCGGGGCCCGCGCCTGCGTCTGGCGGTGGAAGTGCTCCCGGCTCGCCACAGCGCTCCTCACGGCCTTCTCCAGGATCTCCTTCTCCCCGAGGCGCAGCTTGATGGCCATGGTGGCCCGGGTGGAGAGGGTGTGGGCCTTCAGGAAGGCCCTGTCCTCCTGGAGAAGAAGGGGATGCACTGTCAGACCCTCCCGCAGCATGGCTGGAGGAAGGAGGCAGGGCAGCGGGGCCAAGGTGCAAGGGGACTCCCAGGGGGCTGGGCAGGCCTCACATGTGACCACCTGACTCCACACCTACACCAAACAGGATGTTTAAAGGGGTCCTAATTGTGTGTAAGTGGCATCTTTCTTTATAGGAAATTGCTATAAGGAGAAAACAGAGACGAAAGCTAATCAAACGCTGTCCCAGTGCATGTGACAACACCTTGCTGGTGGGCACAGACAGGTCAGCACTGCATCTGGACGGGGAATGGATATGAGGGGACAGAGAGAAAACGGACAGGAGGATGGGACGGACGAGCAGATGGACAGGCGACAGTAGACGGGGATGGAAGGATGGAGGGGGGTAGAAGAGTGGATGGACAGATGGGCAGACAAATGGACGGATGGGACAGAGGTAGTCCAATGGTAAGCTTTGAAAGCACAAATACGAAGTTATGCTGTTGCATCATATGAACTAGAAAAATCTAAATGAAAAATCCTACAATCCTAATGAAAAACGCCTTGATATTAGACCTTTCTGAGGTTAAGCAAAAACATCTTAAGAAGGAACCCTGAAGGTGAGCTCGGCTGCTAACCACAAGGTCAGTGGTTTAAACTCAAGATGCTCCAGAGGAGAGGGGGTGGCAGCCCGCCAGCTTCTGCAAAGATGACGGACGTGGGTGTTCTGCGGGGCAATCCGCTATGTCCTATGGGGTCACTGTGACTCCATCACAACCGACTCAATAGTAGCAGGTTTTTTGGAAAAATTGTAAGTAGGAAAATACTAACGTGTTGAATAAAAACCATCAAGATTGCAATGATTTTCTAGAGGCTTGCAGCCACCGCTATTTGGGAAGCCCTCCTGCTGACAGCATCAGGGCAGGAGCAGCGGCACTGGCCCCCAGGCTCCCTGTGATCACCTCAATTGTCGTTTTGTACGTTTTCAGAAGCAGCGAAGCTCTGTCTTCAAGAAACGTCCAAAGCTTGACCTCGTTGTCCCAGCTGACGGGGAATTCCGAGTTGCCCAAGGTGAAGATTCTATCAATGGCACTGTCTCCCAGCAAATGCTCCTTCAGCTCTTCTGTAAGGGACACAGCATCATGTCAGGGGGCAAGGGCGGCGAGGCCCATCTGAACGCGCCAGCCACTGCAAGTGTCTCCCAGTCATGCCAAGTCCCACCAGCCCGTCTGCAGAGTTCTGAGTGCGGTGTTATGGACAGTGTCTGCGGAGGGGAGAGCCGCAGAGCCCTTGGCTGGAATCCTGAGCAAGCGCCAGCACAGGCCTCCATTTCCCGTCGGCTTTACGAGGGGAAGGAGAGTCCGTGAGAATGTCCCAGGACACTGGGGCACGTGACCTAGCGGGGGTACACTCCCTGCGGTGAAAGACCCCTCTCCCTAGCTGTGGGCTCAGTCCACCAAGCATGGAAAGACATCAAGGCTGATGACATAAACAGAACACACACCCAATCCCAGCCACGTAGTAATCCTTCTCAACGTCAATCTGCTGGGTGCTTAGTGGTCAGCCCAGAACACGCAGCCTCTAACAAGAAAGGCCTCATCTAACAAGGAAGAAATAAGAAAGTCGCCTACCAAACTCTTCGAAGGGGAAACCCCGGCCTATGGGCCTCATTTAAACAGGAACATGACTGAACAGTTCAACTACCTGCCAATAAGCTAAAGAAGAGAGGTGGGGGGAAAGAGTTCAGCCAATGCTCCCAGCACATTTTCTCCAAAGAACCAAGAGGTCCTCACCTTCCCTTGCTGTGCAGCCAGGAGCCAGGCCCCTCCGAGCAGAAGGACCCAGAGCTGCCACTGTTTACAGTTCACCGCACGGACGGCTCACTTCTATCCGAACTCGTCAGAGAGCTCAAAGAATGCACGGAGTGTCTCAACACAAACTGTCTTTCTCTGACTAAAGAGAATCCTCAGGCCCAGAATGAATCAAGTAGCTTTTTAAAAAGAAAATATAAGCGAGTCCGGCATTCAGAAAAGAGGCGCACTCAGTCGTATTTGTTAGCAAAAGCGCAGGTGACAGTTCAGGAGGTTTAGCTGTGAGTCCTCAGATGGAGTTCCCTGAAGAGCAGAGTGGAGGTGGGAATGCAGCCGGACACTCAACCACGGCTCTTCCTCACTGGCGAGGGCACAGCTGCAGGGCTGGAAGGGCAGGTGGGGGTCTACGTCCCTTCGTGCTTGCCATCAGGAGCAAGACTGGACTCGTTCCCGCCTCTGGCAGAGCACCATGTGCTGATGGGACGTCACATCACCGTGACACTGGGCTGCACCTCGAGCAGAGTCCATTTCTGGAGGCCAGATCTAGCAGGTCCCCCCGTCTCGCCTGGGGCTCCTTGAAGCAGGTCCCCTCTGTCCCATGCGAGGCTGCCCTGCTGCCCTCCGCACCCAGGGAGCATCTGGTCACTTCAGAGGAAGGCAGACAGACCAGGTCACACTCTTCAGCCTGGCCTGTCTCCGCTGTGCTTCTCCCAGTCATGCCCAAACAGCCAGGAGTCGCAGATCTAATCCGAACCCCATTCCCTCCACACCCTCATCCAGAAATCAGTTCTCTGCAATACAGACGTTGACAGCTGGGGGCCGTCTGAGTCCTGAGCCAGCCTCCTTGGCCTCGGCCATCCCTGAACCTGCTGTGGACTGCAGCACCTGTGCCCTCCAGGCTGACGGGCTCCCAGGGAAGCACAGTTTGCACAGGGAGTGGTGGTACCCCACAGACATGGCGACGTGGGACCGTCAGCGGTCCTCAGTGCACCCTGAGTGTAAGAGCAGGCTCATTCAAGTCTGTCTGTCGGAGACGCAGAAAGGCCCCTGCCCACCTGAGCTCATTCCTGACACTGAACTGAGGACGCACGGCCATGGGACACCGGCACACACACCCTGCCTGCACCGCGGGGCTGTGCACACGGGACGAAGTCCATCTCCACCTTCACAATGCTGGCCCAGCCCTGGGCAGCACTGACCCTGCAGCCGGCAGCCCCCAACGAGGCCAACTGTGGGACCAGATCTGGCCTCTCCCGAGGGCCCAACAGTGCCCCCCGAGCATGCTGGTCTGTGGAAGTCATCAAGGATGCACTGCCGCTCCCCCAGGACTTGAGGGCGTTCACACAGCACCGCACACATGCACGTGAACACAGGTACGTGCCTAAACTCGTCTGCTCTCCCTCTCCCCTAGTCCACTCTGCCCAGGCCTTCAGCAACTTATGGCAACAACACACATCTACACACATGCACATACACAATAAACTAAAAGATGAAACTGCAGACCAGGGGCTTTGGAGGAGTCCTGTTCAGGCTGGCAAGTGAAGACATTGCCACAATGGAACCAACCTGTGTCAGGAAACCCTGACCGACAGGGGGGCAGATTTCGCAGTTTCTGGACGTGGATGAGGAGGCTGCAGACCTGCAGAGCCCTGCCCACACGTGTGGTCACTGCGCTACTGACACAACAGGATGCTAAGCGTGCTGGGGACGTCCTGGTTGGCTGCAGAGCTGCTGTGGGGCGGGTCCACGGGCCCGACTGCGGCCGCATGCTCTCACAGGGCCACCAAGGTCCTTGTCTGGGTAACACGGACGTGAACTACTGGGTAGAAGCTGCCAGTCTTGGGTAAGAGACACACGGACGTAGAAGAGGCCACATCACATCTCCTTCCACAAAGTGCTTCACGGTAAGCCACCCTCCTCCTCCCCTTCAATCTCAAGTCCCAGGCCCCACAACACCGCCATGCCTGGAGTGACTCACCTTCGGTCATGCAGAAGACACGGAGGAAGGCCAGGAGCTGGGCGGAGATGGGCGGCTCTGTGGAGTGCAGCGCGAACACGCTGGAGCTGGTGAGAGCAGGGAAGAGGGGTCACCAGGGGGCCACCGCCAGCCCCTCACCCTGGCCGCATGGCCGGCTCAAGGGGAGCCCAGCCCAGCCTGTCCTTCCCTCACCCAGGCCAGGGCGTGTGAGCACCAGTCCACACAGGACGCAGGCAGCAGCACCCCCGCCTCGGCAGCGGCCACACACCCACCCAGCAGGCCCTGCTCAGTTGATGGCTTTCATCTCGGGCAGCACTGAAGCCGTTAAGAGAATTAAACGTGCCCATGGTTCTCAAAAAAACAGTAACGATAATTTATGTTGAGTTCACATTTTAATCATTAATCAAATATTGACAAGTTCAATAAAAAAGGTCTAGATAATCCATTTTCATTAAGAACGGTTCCTCTAATCCCCGGAGGGAGGATAAATCATCATTCTTGCCTTCTTTATCATTTTGCACCTCAAATGCAAGAAAATCTGCAAGGAAGTCACCAGAGATGCTCACAGTCCCCAAGGAGCACGGTTCATTAGACAGGAAGGGTGGCGAGGGGCAGAGTGGAGCAGACTGGTCCAGGCCACCTTTGCCAGGTGAAGGCGTCAGCCACCAAGGGCTCCTTGACGGGAATGTGGGGTTCAGCCCCCAGCTCCGGCACTCACCAGGGGCCCATGAAAGTCAGGCTTATCCAACAGCCTTCCTGCTGTGTGGCCAGGGAGAGGGGCTGAGACTACCTAGTTGTGTGAACACAGCAGCGCCCTGCTCACAGCGGGGCGGGGGTACTTACGTGGGGATGCCGGCGCGGGCCAGGACCTCGGCCTTCATAGCGTACAGCCTGTCGCTTTTACTCACGCCGAGCTTTATTTTCACTCTGTCGTGTGAATTATTGTCAAAGAAAAAACCACTGTGGATCACAAACTCTGCATTTGATCGAGTGCCATAAAAAATGTAAATCTGCGATGCGGCAGAGAAAAAATAAAGGAACATGAGACACGTCAGCACTCATTCTTATAAAACAGCCCGCAAAGGGGTAGTTCTCACTAGCTGAATGGGCCTTTACACACGTGACAGTGACACCGAGGAACCCAATGCTACATGCTGTGGCATGGTCAGACCCCAAAGCCAAACCCACTGCCCTCTGGTCAGCTCCAGTTCCATGACCCTCCATCGAGGTTCCGAAGCTGGAAGTCTTTCCGGGAGGAAAACAGCCTCATTTTTCTCCCCTGGACCAGCTGGTGGACTCAAAGCACTGAGCTCTGGTGAGCAGCACAACACTTATCACACTGCACTGCCAGGGCCCCTGTGTCGAGGGACATTTCAGCAAAGTGTGCCATGTCCTCTCCTTCCCAAACACCCCTCTTGCACCACAAGGCGGTGGCTGTGGGCTCTCGGATGCCCTTCCTCAAGGTCCAAGTCTTCAAGGGACAAACCAGCTACTACACGAAGGTGGGGCCTCCACATTGCCCACCCTCCTCCCTCACGCCTGGACAGGCACGGCCGCCCGAAAGCCAGCGCTCAGTCGAGCACCAGCAGGAGCTTGCAGGCAGTCTGACAGGGCAGCACACTAGGTCGGGGGGAGACTGGCCATCGGTCTGTGTTGATCGTGTGTTCTTTACTGGACGCTTGTTTGTGTGGTACAGAACACAGGTCTCCACAGACACCCACTGTCAGCTTCACCCTGCTCCCACGCTAACAGTTCACAGGTTGAAGGGAAGGAGACAGATGGCCTGGGCCCCGACTGTCCTACACTTCGGCCCCATGTGCACCGCCTCGCAGTAGACACAGTGCTCATCAGTAGAGACCAAGCCCTGTCGCCTGTGCACCTCAACACCTAGCCTTGTGCCGCACTGCAAAACATCTTCTCAGCTGACAGTGCTACAAACCGTGGGCCCAATGTGCACATAAGTGCGCTGAAATCTTTTTCTCTTGGGCCCGCACACAGCATTGTTTACCCCAGGTTGAGGATTCAGGGCAGGCCCTGGGACACAGGCATCCCCAAGGAAGACCTTCGAGAACCCGCCCAAGGCAAGGCCTTGAAGGGAGGGCTCGCCTGCCACACGTAGGACACGCACCTGCTCCCCGGCCCTGAAGTCCTGCAGGGCCACACACTCGCAGCGGTCATCCTCCAGGTTGTAGCCAGTGGTGATCTAGGGGAGAGAGGACTCAATCACAGGTCAACATGCCCGTCCCTCAGTCACTAGACGCAAAGGTGCCCCCACACTCCACAGCTGCGCTCACGTGCTCACACAGAGCAATTCACCAACACGGGAGGCCCTGGGGGAAGGACAGCCCCCCCCCCCCCAGCAGGCCCTTCTCAGACCTGCCCGGCAGGCGCCACCACACTCAGCCTGTCCGAATTCCTGTGATGCTCATCTACGGCCTAGGACCACTATATGAAGGGACCAAAAGACCTGGGCAGCTGCAGGGTGTCACAGGGGCTCCAGCAGGCTGGACCCAGGGTTCACGGAGAGGCACAGTGGGATAGAAGGCTGGGAACATGGGCCTTGAACCCCACACCTCAGACCGAATGGCATGTGTAGGCCATCCACACTCCCGACCAGTGAGGAGCATATGGGAGTCCACAGACTTCCTCACTCTAAACCACAGCTGTATCAGGGGAACGGTCACAGCACAGAGGAGCCGCAAGCAAGCCTGCGTTCCAGCACACGCTCCTTGCAAGGTAGCGTGAACACCAGACGGGGGTTAAAATCAGCTTTATCAAGTTCCCACCCAACATCTGGGTCACTTTTCTGACCCAAACTCATCACCTGACAGTAAAGTAGGGAGCAAAGGATTACCATTTCCCACAAACCCCCAGTATGATGCTCTCTGGAAGGAGACAGACAAGGAAGAAGGGGGAAGAGGATTAAGTGAGCAGAAGGAGTAAAGTTGGGGAGGAGTGAAGTCGGGGAGGAGGAGGTTGGGGAGGAGGGAGAAGTCATTAGAAGAGGAGGTTAGGGAGGAGGGGGGAGAAGGTTAGGGAGGAGGGAGGAGTGAAGTCGGGGAGGAGGAGGTTGGGGAGGAGGGAGAAGTCATTAGAAGAGGAGGTCAGGGAGGAGGGAGGAGTCAAGTCAGGGAGGAGAAGATTAGGGAGGAGGGAGGAGTGAAGTCGGGGAGGAGGAGGTTGGAGAGGAGGGGGCAGTCATTAGAGGAAGAGGTGGTTAGGGAAGAGGGAGGAGTGAAATCAGGGGAGGAGGTGGTTAGGGAGGAGGGAGCAGACATTGGGGAGGAGGAACGGCAGGAGTTTGGGGAGGAAGAAGGAGTGAAGTTGGGGGAGGAGACGAGGCAGAGGAGGAGTGAAGAAATCTAAGTTGGAGGGGGAATGCTGTTCTATCTGTGGGGGACATGGTTACAGGCGTTTAAACATTCGACTCTAGTAGCTTCGGAAAACGTCCAGACTTCAGCTGCCAGCAGCAGCCTCACGTGAAGATGCCGGGCGCCCGTCGTGTGCAAGTCAGAGGCTCCGAGGCTGCGCCTGTCACCTCCCAAGTGGGGCCCTGCCAAACGCGTTCCTGCACCTGACGAGTGAGCACGCAGAGCAGTCGCCACGTAGTATTACGCAGCACGGACAGTGAAGCTCTGTGACACGCTCGCGGGGCGTCCTCCGCGTGCACGCCCACCAGGACGCACCCAGCAGCAGGGGCCCACAGGGCACGCTCTAGTCTCATCTCCATGTAAGTAAACAGGAAAAAGTGTGACTCACAGGCACGCAGGCGTGGTGTGCGTGTACACACACACGTGAGCTGTACGCAGTGAGAGCTGAGTCCCTGCTGTCTCCTTTGTACTTTCTCTGGGTGTCGCATGAACTCCATCACCAGGAGGGGGGTAAATGAGGTAACGCAAGCTCATCAAATAAAATGTGGAAACTATTAAAAACATAAACAAGCGTGCATGCTCTGACGGGAGGGAAGACCCTGTCAGCCAGGTGGGCAGGTAAGCACACGCAAGCCCCTGCGTTCACCCAGCTGACTGGCCCTGTGCCCCGCACAGTCACTTTCAGGGGGCACAGCTGCTGTGGAGGGAGGTGCTGGCCCCCTGAGAGAGGGGAACTGAGGTTAAGTTGCTCGAGGCCTGTGAGGAAGAGGGGGAGCATAAAGCAGGTACCATGGTTTGGGGTGGTTCTGTCTAATTTTCAGATTGCCAAAGCCTGACAGACTTTGTAATGCGGACCCCTGAGCCCACTGCCTGTGAGGTGATTCTGACTCATAGCAGCCCCACAGGACAGTGTGGAACTGCCCCCAGGGATTCCAAGCTTGTCCAGAAAGCCCTGGTGGCGTAGTGCCTAACTTACAGGGTCACTCACAGCAAGGTCACCAGTTCAATCCCCGTCACTCCCTAGAGACTCAGCCTCAGAAAGCTAATCGGTGTTTACTTGCAGCTGCCTGCCTGTCCGCTTCTTACAGAGCAGCAGGTGGGCTCCGCTGCCGGCTTCCGATTAGGAGCTCCGGCCAGGCCCCCACATCCCGATGGGTGTTGTGTCCTCTGAGGAAACCTGTCGTTCTGCAAGGGATAGACTTAGACGGAAGAGGTAGTGGTGGTTTGCTGAAGTCAGCCTTGAATCTGAAGCTGTGAGAGGAATGGCAGCTTAGAAGCCTGCAACTTCTCAAGAGCAGAGAGGAGGAAGGCACTGAAGGTTCTGCAAGGGTTAAAGGTGCTTGGGGACAAGATTCCCTTACAGGCACCACGGAGAAGTCCCCAGGCCCCTCCTGCACCCTGTCTTGCTTCTTCCGTGCAGCCTGTGGTCCAGTTCAGTATGGACAATTCCTCCTTCCTCCCTAGAACCAGAAGCGGGGCCAGGTCTGCACACGCTGAGCCAGTGCTCACACACGCCCCCTCGTGCTGGTCGCAGGCACTACTGCCACGGCCTGGCACACCTCTTCCCACCTCAGCACTCTCCCTCGTCTCAGCCTCTATACTATTCACACTCCAGCAGAAGACCGTGGAAACAGCCTCACTTGCTTCGGCCTGCATTTCCTGACACCTTTTCAGGCTGGCAGGCAAGGAGAGGCAGCTATTCAAATGCAGGCTGGTCGTGAGACAGGTTTTCTTAAGGACTAGAGTGGCCTCGGGGGAGTGGCATAGTGTCCACGGGGCTTCAGGGGTTGACTTTCCCAAGCAGATCACCTACAGCTTCCGGTGGACTCAAACCACCAACCTTTCCGTTGGCAGCTGAGCACTCACTGTGCGTCACCCAGGGAGCTAATACCAAACGAGAACAGAGTGCCCGCGGTTCCCAAGCCTGCGGATCTGCACAGAAGCCCACAGCCTTCTCCTTCTCAGACAGACTGACTGCTTGCTTCAAACCGCTGACCACTCAGTTCACAGCAGAGCACTTAACCAATGCACCCGCCAGGGAAGGCATCTGGGGACCTCTAACCCCTACAAGCAGAACAGTCCTTGAGGGGAGATCTGTGAGGTACGGGAATTTGGACAAATCATGAAAACAGAGAGATGGGTTCTCTCCTCGGGCCCAGACCTCACTACTGCACCGGGCGGTGTGTCTGGGCGGCTGGGCACCAGGCGGCACGCCCCAGTCCTCGCAGCTCTGGGATTGGGGCCGTGGTACTGACTGGATGGCACCCAGGCTGGGGACACTGTCGGAGGCAGACAGCGTTGCTGGGTTACAAATTTCTACCTACTCCCTCAGTGACAGTCTGGATAGACAGACAATGAGAGCATGAGCGGCAGGAGACGCATGTAAGAGAGAGACTGTCTGAAAAGCTGAGCCTTCACTTCAAGCACCTCATTTTTTCTTTTAAGAAAAAATTAATTGTTAACATGTGCAATATACAAAATAGAACTTCTCAAATTCTCCTAGACAAAATTTCTGTCAAATGTGAGAATGGTAACAGCAAGCAGTTGGCCGGGGGTGTTGTGAAGTAGGAGGAAGGAGGCCTCGAGGGCGGGACGGCCAGGGCCAGGGCCAGGGCGGGGGCCGAGGCAGGAAGGTCTAGCGTTGGTCGTCATCGATCCAGTATCTTTATCTTGAGACAAAATAACTTTATTTGTAAGATGGACCAAAAAAGTGCATCATTTACATGGAAACCAGAGCTCAGTACCATTGAGGGGCTTCCAGCTCACAGTGGGCCTCGATTTGGAGTCTGAGGCTCACACATCTCCACGGGAGGAAATGCCTCACATCCGTCCTGTGAAGCTGCTGAACACTGACGATCCTAACGTTCAGTCAAGTCAGGAAACCAATCTAACTGGTAGACTCAGAAGAGACTGCAGTCCAGGTGGGAACAGACAGAGGCCTCGCTAAACACCCAAAACCAAAGCATGTGCCCCTGCGTCACTTCCTACTCACAGCCCCCTCCAGGGCAGAGCAGAGCGGCCCCCAGGGTTTCTGCGGGTGTAAATCTGCACAGAGGCCGTAAATCCATCTCCTTTTCTGGTGAGCTGAAACGAGCAAGCTTTCCAGTGCTCAGGCCACTGCACCATGGACGTTTACAAGTGTCTGTTGCTGCCGTGTGAGCCAGAAACGACCGGCACCGGCCCTGCAGTGCCTTTCAGAGGCAGCATGTTGCACGAGCGTCTGCTGCATGGCTTTCTCCTGCAGGGCCACTAGCACCAAGCCACTGGACCATCAACCAGGGACTGCACACTTCTTAAAGCTGGTTTTCTGGGTTGGAAAGCTCAGGGTCACAGTCTAAGAAGAACTCAGTGAACTGGCTTAAAGCCGTTTAGATGACAAAACCCCACAATCCACGTCTCAGAGGAGCGAGGGGTGCCAGGTGACCACGCACAGGTTCTCAGACTTCTAAGAGGTCTCTTACTTGCCAGAACCAAGACAGTAAGGTGATCGACGCTCAGAGAAGAGGTGCGTCCACATCACCCCCATGCCGACAAGAACTAGGTGGTGCCCACTAACACCCAGACCGTCCTAACCTGACCAGAGCACATGGTCCCAGAGAGACACGAGGAAATGGTGCAGAACTCAAAAGTCCTGAGTAATTCTTCTGAGAGAGTAAAAACAAAAAACAAAAGCCAATCAAACCGAACACCAGAGGACAGTGACTGCCCTAAGACTGTCATTCTGACAGACTCAGACGTGAGCCTGGCCCGGGGTCACACAACCCAGTGCCCTGCTGGCTGGGTGCCTTCATAAGCACTGTGAGTGTGAGATGAAAAGGCCACAATTACCCCAAAGAGAAGACGCAAGGAGGAAAGGAAAACGGAACAAACAGCCCGAGGAAGAGAGCTGGTGCGGATGTCACCAACAATCCACGTGGAAACGGACAAGTGGGAAGCTACCTTGCTACATAAACTTTCACCACAAACACAGTACAGTGTTACTTTAAAAAAGAAACAAAGATTATAGTCAGATATTAAACAGTGTCTGGAAAATCTCCAAACTTCAATCTTTTATCAAATGAAGGGTGACGAGGTTAACATGAAAACGTCATTATAAACATGGACTGTCCCTTCTCCCTGTGATCTCAACACCTTCCAGATTTGAGGGCCAACTGTGAACATGTGCAGATGGTTCCCGTGGGTTTGACATGTTCGTTCTTAAACGCTGGCCCATATCTCGTGTGTTCTGGGTTTTTTCTAGAATTAGATGTTAAGATGCTCATTCACAGTGTTACTTTCTCTCTTTAATACTGTGAATAATAACAAAGAAAACTTGCATTGATAAAAGTGGAAACATATGCAACCAGGATATTAGTGTAATATTTTTAAAAACAGTATTTTTCTGAGCTTTGTTGCCCAGGTGACTCCCGTGTTCGTGGGCAGGAGCCAGGCCCATGAGTGAGCTAGAGAGCAGGAGAGGGGCATGCAACTCAGGAGTGGGTTAGCTGGAGAGACTCCAGCCAAGAAGAAACTGAGGAACACAGACAGGAAAGGAAGTCAGACTTGTCAATAAACTGCTATTTTGAAAACAAGAAAAAGAATTCAGTTTGTGTACAATAAGATAAAAAAAAAAAATCTTGAGCTTGAATCTAGCTTAGCAAAGAAATGCTGCTGACCGTGGTTTTGAAAGCTGACCAAGAGTCAAGTTCCCAACCTGCAGTATTAATAGTCCAAGAGACGTTTCGGCTTCTGTCTGAGGTCTGAGGGAGATGAGCAGGGTGTACGGCTTGGTGGGCTCTCGTTTGGGGACAAGAAGTGAGGGGAGACATAGCAGGGGTCGGTGGCATAGCCCTCCTAGAGCACAGCAGTCACAGCCCAGACCACGCCCTGTGTGGTGGACACCTACCAGGCCACTGGTGTGGTTGCACATGTCCCACAGAGGGATCAGGGCAAGGGTCACCCGGGAGCCATCCTCGGTGGGAATCTGGTTCTGTCTCGTCATAACAGAGGACACGGCCCACCTGTAACAAGGAACAGAGGTGAACGACGGTCACACAACACAGCTTATTTTCGTGAGAAACAGCAGGAACCAGGTCTGACTGCTCTCTGATCTACACACCCTTCTCCTAAGGCCCACAGGTCCACACTTGGCCTTTGTCATGACTGACGATTAAAGCTGGGGTGATTTAAAGTCGGAGAGGAGCACGGGAGAAGCAGGAAAGTGAGCCTAGGACATCCGCGAGTGCCGATGGGGGGGCGCTGGGACAACCAATGGTGGGGTGCTCAGCTCTTCTGCGTCCTCCTTGGCCCACACCCTCTGCCCGCCCCCCCCCACACACAGTGGACTCTCCCATCTCTACCCAAAAACTGGCTTGCTGCACACCCCCCATGCCCACCTACCCCCACCCTACAGGGAAAGCAGTGCTGGGCCTCTCCCCGGTCCCCTGAGAACTGCAGATATGCTGCAGAAAGAGTTTTCCTCACTTTGTGCAGTGAATTAAAGCATTCTGTTCACAAAGAAGTCCTTATTTTATACTAGTTTACATTAAAAGAAAAAGTGGGGGAGGGATTCTCATAACCACCTCGTACAAATGTTCGTCTCAAGTATCATTTGGCCACTCAATGAGTCTCCCGTACTGCAGGTCAATGGCAATCTCCACATGGCTATTAAAATGCCAATAGTCATCCACTGTCACTTCAGAAAGGCCACTGCTGTTCTGTGCCATAAACAGTCCCAGCGGGTCACTTCTCCCTCCCTTCCCAGACCCCATGTGGACCCCCAAGCCAACCTCCAGGGGACACGGGGCACACACACGCACAGCCCACCAACCTGTAGTCCTCATATGTAAACGAGTCCTTCAAGGGCAGCTTGTTGGCATGAGGGTGGGTCTGGGAATTCCAAGTTTGAGAAAGCAGAGGTGAGAAAAACGGGGAAACGAATCAGTCAGCAGAATTGCATTATTTAGCTGCTAACACATCCTAACAAGAGCCAAACGAAGCGGGAGGCGTCCCGCCCGCGCGGAGGATCATCACGCCATTAGGCTCTCGTACATCACTGTCAGCTTCATTTGTTGTGCCCAGGAGCCGCCATCAATCTGCTTCTTCATATCTCCACGCTGGAACCCACCCGCATCATACAAAAACAACACAGGGCGGACCCTTCCAGAGGGTGAGCACGCCCAGGTTGAGGCTGTGGGACGCAGAGGGACAGGGGCCTGGGATGGGAGGTGCTGAACCATGTGGGGGACACGAAATCTCTTCCAGCAACAGAGGAAACCATTAAAGGTCTGCCAGTTTGGCTTTAAAGGTTCAGCTCCTGTGTCTCTCATTAAACTTCCCGCCTGGGCAGCAACTCAAGTGCAAGTGAGTAGGGGCCACGGACGAAGTGGCTGCAGCACAGAAAATCCAGAAAAACCCACTTCTGTGAAATTATGAAAGACACTTTCCCAGGAAATAAGATAAAGGGAAAATAAAGATCAATAGACTAGTTCAATTTTACAACTTCCACTCCACACCCTGGACAAAAGGAAAAAGCACAGTTGATAAAAATACCCAAATTTCACACTTAGCAGAAAATGTTAAACATTTCATGTTCTGTCTTCACAACGCCCCCACCTTAGACCTTTCAAGCACTTCAAAACTTTGTCTCGATTAAGAAATTAAAAGCGGTAGCAGTGTAATTTTAATCTTCATTTCAATTACAGGCTGACAGACAGATTGCAGTAAGTGATCAAATGAACAAATGGCTTTTCTGAGACTGGGACGCAGCGGTTGGGTGCATGTGCAGGCCGCTAACCAGCCCTGGGTGTGCCTCACTCATGACACACCAGCAGCCCACTGCCCTCCACTGCCCTCCCGGAAAGGGCTCACTGGCGCTGGGCACAAGGCTGTGGGGACGAGGGGCCGAGGCTCACACCGTCAGCCAGTTAGACCCAACCCTGGGCAGATGACAGACCACCAAGGTCTGCAAGTGGGCAACGGCTCACATGCCATGTTTCCTCCTAATCCGGAGCCCGGTTCTAATTCTTTGGAATAAAAGTAAAAATCTAAACCTGGCTCACAGACTCTCTGAAATGGAGGTTTGTGATCAAAAAAATGAAACTAGTGGAGATGGAGTTTTGAGTAAGTAAAATAAGACACTGTCCTAGAACATTGTTAAGCTTTTACAGGGAAATCGGGCAAACCTATGTGGGACACTCCCCTCCTAAATCAATACCACAGTCAACTATCCCAGGATGGAAACCCAGGTCCCCTCTCCCTGCCCTGATTGGGAGGAGGGCCCCCAGCAGGTGCACGCTGTGTGGGTCTGTCCTCAAAAGCAATACATGCACCAAGTAAGAACCCTTCTCTCCTCAGACCGTATGTGAGGGTACAGAGGAATCTACAGGGACTTTGGGACCTGAAAGAAGCGTTAGTGCTGAAATTTTCTTTCCATAAGGAATAATGAAACTCCCGATTATCTGACTACCTGGGAACATTGCAAGTTCCACCTCTTCCCAAATGGTCAGGAAGTGAGAAAACTCTGCTATTTTAAAATGTTTCTCATCTACTTAAAACTGTGGATGCCAGCATGAGATCATTGGTAAATTCCAATTTCGTACACACTAAAAATTTGCCAAAAAAAATAAACAAATCTGGTTCTCAATTGGCCTGCTGCACATCAGAACGACTTCAGGAAGAACCTTGCACTGCTCAGAGATCTCTAACTGAACACCTCAGCCGTGGCCCTACCCAGGTAACCAGGGCACCCCCCCAGCCCCACAAGGGACCAGGTGCAGGGACACTTCACTCCTGCCTGCACATTTCCGTTTCTTACCCAGCCCCTACGGTATGCTCCCTGTCTGATGAAGCCGTAAAGAAAGCTCAAGAAAAAACCAGACATGCGCCCTTCAGATGAATTTTGAGAAGGATTTTGGTTGTGGAGTTATGTAACATTTGCAGAGCCTGTTAGAAATAGTCACTCTTATCAGCTCAGAAAAATTGGGTGTGCACACTTTACTTAATTCTTCCATAGAAACACGCACTTAACAGTGCAGTGAATGTGACACTGGCGGCTCGCCTTCCGACTGCTCACGACTGTGACGCTATCGCCACCTACTGGCCGCGCGGCGGAGGACGCGTCCAGGACGAGGCCCCGGGACCAGCCTGCGGTCACCTGCGAAACGCACGGCTACTCCCTGTGGGTCAGCTTTACACCACCCTGCGTGGTTTCCAGTCTACCCAAGCTCTGCAAACTGTTCGAGAAGAGTTTTACAAAGACCCTGAAGTGGTCAAATAGAGAATCATTATTTATACATACAACATACTTCATTTTCAACACACGTGTTCCCATACAACCTGGTAAAAATGCACAAGGATAAGCAAAGTCCCTCCCTAAATATTTTTTTTTCTTCTCTAAGCTCTGGACAGGATGAGGATGGCTACTATTTTCTAAATGCCAAGCCTTTTACCCATATCGAAGAAGGGAGTGTTAAAGGCACACCCTCCAAAAATGGTAGTACTGATCAGAAGTTACCTGAAAACTCCTCCCATGGCCTTAACTGCAAGTCTCAAAACGAGACAAAATTGCTTTGTTATCATGACACGCTGCCACCTACTAGTTCTTTAAAAAATAAAAATGTACAACAGAAAGCACGTATCTGTAGGCGTGATGTGGTCACTGCTACCCTAGACCCAGGTGCACCCTGGACGGGTGTGGAGGGTCCCCGCAGAGCTGCTCAGCCCACCGGTCAGAGACCAGGCACATGGCCCACATCCCAAAGGCCCCTCCCCGACAAATTCTGGTTTAGAGACCGGACAGAGATGTCACAGTTTCAGGTTTGGTCTTTCAGTTTGGGGGTTTCTATGTTTACTTTTTTCGTGAGTTGTTTCCTTTTTAAATGTTTGATGTTTCTTGAGCACAATAAGCATCTGAAGAAGATGGAGAAGCAAACAACTGCTCCAGTCCAGAAGCAGACGCGTTCGGGAGCTTACTCCTGAAAAGAAGTCCTGCTTGGCACGCCGAGCCAGACAGCCCGGCACAGACCCTTTCCCCACTCCTTTTCCGTCCAAAGGCGGGTTCTGTAGGAGACACAGTGATACTGTGCCTTGTACAAAATAATCACCATGCTTGGGAAAGATTAATATCTAAAACTGTTTGTTTGGCTTCAATAAAAAGGCGCAATATTGCTAAATATGTAAGTATGACATTTTGAAGAATTTACCATATTGCATGGGTCTGGTGGCTATGCTTAAGGAAATTAAAAACCCCCCCAGTCAGCATATTTGATCCTTATTAAAGTTCTGTCGTGAACTATCACTCATGTAAAAGAAAAATAAATCAAGAAGAAATGTAAATAAAACCTATGGATTAAAAGCATTTCAAGATGGGGGAAATGAACAATATTCTGGTTTTTAAAAAAATTGATTTAGCGTTCAGTCTCTCTTCACAGTCCCTTGATGAAATGAAGCCTCCCTAACAAACACGTAATAAAGACTGTCAATACCTCTGCAAAGAAAAATGACACAAACGCATTAAGTATTAAATACCCTCGGAAAAAGTCACATATTCCATGAATTTTTGATGTACTATCTTGACATTAATGTAAAACCTTGATATTTATAATTGACAGATATTTAATAAAGTATAAAAGAAGATGGCTGCTGTGTGCGGCATGCAGATTTCTCAGGTTGACGAGAAGCGAGAGATACAGACGTGCACTTCAACTAGATAAACAGTTAACGCACGCTGCACGAATTGGCAGCCGCGGTCTTATTTTAAGCTCAGACAACAAACCTTTGTGGAGAACCGAAATGAGCAGAACTCGTTATTCTGTGAATTCCTAATTCAGAAACATCAGTGTGTGAAATCACTTGAAACCTCACCGGTTCTGCACAACAAAATACATTTGAGTTGAAACTGTTTTGGGAAGTTGGGTTTTTTAACATTTAATAATAAGCATTTTAAAAAATAAAAGAAAAAAAAAAAGATAAATGTTCCATTAAAAAACCCAAAGTATCTCCTAAAACAACTCTCAGACAAGACATATTCAACCTAAGGAAAAAGTCAAGGTTCTCTGAAGAAGGGAACAAAAAGATTAAAACCAATTAAGTGGTCTCTGACACGGGCTTCTCAAAGCCAGGGCTTCACGCTTCTAAAGAACACTCACCTCGTAGACAAATTTAAAAACAAAACAAAAACTGAGAAACCACAGAGCTGAATACATTAAACAATCACCGGAATACAGAAAAGTTACTTAGTTCATACAAATAATTCCTATGTATTGGATTTTAAAGAATGTTTTAAATGCTCTAATTCCTAATCAGTTGCTAATTTTGCAAATACATACAGTGACTTAAGGGGAATAGTTATCAGGAATGCAAAAAAAGGAATTTAGCAGCCACACTTACTTTGTTCTGATAAAAACCCTAGTACCACTCAATTAAGTTTTCTTACCAAAATACCTGGCGAGTGCATGCAGTAAAAATGAACGTGGACTTTGCTGAAGCACGTATTAAAGCCAGGGCTCCGCGGGCGGCTGTCCATACCCAGACAGGCCCATCTAGCACCAGAGACAGCGCCGCCTCTCACTGCTGCTGTGGCTGATGCGGGGATTCTGACCCCTGATGACCATACAGGACAGACAACTGCCCAACGGGGTTTCCTAGGGAGTGGCTCTTTAAGCAAGTAGACTGTCCTCTCTTCCTTTCACAGATTAGGAGCCGGGCTCCTTCTCTCGTTTCTACAAGGATAAATCAGCACCAGACTTCAAATTTCATTTTCTGGAAGGATGCAATTCCAAGTACTGAAAGTGGGTCACCCCCTTGCTCGGGCCAAGCCTGCTCCTGGGGACATATGCCTCACAGAGAGTCTATTCCTTGCTGACCAGCAGAAAAGTAGGGCTCCCCTG